TTGGGGAGATTAATCAAATGGATAATCTCACTGTGAAAAAAATTTCTTTTTCTCTCCAATTCAAATCTCCCTGGGAGTAACCCGTACCCATTAACTTTTGTCTTTTCCATGTGACCCCTTGTAAAAATGGAGTTTTCATCCTCTCTGTAGCCACCCTTCAAATACTGGAACATAGCAGTGATATATTCAGACACAATTTGAGGAAAAAAGGAGGATGCTGGAAGAAGAAATCAGTATAAATCAGTACAAATCAGTACAATCAACACCCAACCATTGATGGAGCAGTAACGGTGACAGCAGTGACCCTGCTGCTCGCCATGCCCCAATCCACACTGGGATCCCAGACAAGGTGAACAACTCTCCTTGGCACATGCATCCCTCAACAGCCATTCTCCAGCCACCTGCAGGCCCCTGAGCATCCTTCCACAGCACCTCAGACCCTGCATAACGTCACGTTTTTGCAAACTTCCCTGCCTGCAGTGCTGCTGGCACTGGTCATCTGTTGCTGCCAAAACAAAGAAGGGGGTTCACACACACATCCATTTTCCCTTGCTGGGTGAGGGAGGTGAATTTGCTCGTGGGAGGACTGGAGAAGCCCCAAGGCCAGGAGAGGGTATGAAGTGGGAGCTGGCAGCTGCAGGGGATGAAGTCCAGAAGACAGGTAAGACCCGGAAGGACGAGCCTGTCCCCACCTCGTATCAGATCACTTTTAGCCACTTTTCAAATCCTCCGTGAGTAAGAAGCTGAACAGCCCCTGTACACAGGGACGACGACTGCCCGATCAATGAACACGGCCTGCATGGGGCCTTTAACACCCACAGAAATCAATGGCAATATCCTTCAACCTCAGCCCCTGCCGGATCACGCTTGCAGCAGTAATGGAGGCGTAAACACAAGGAGCAATAAATGAGCAAACTGTTAATTGTGAACCTTTCTCATGTATTCTTTGTGAAATTAGCAGCGAATGCAGCTCGTGGGTGCCTGACCAAGCACAAGATGGTACACGCACGGCGATTTCTCACTGCAAAAGCCGCTCGCTTTCATGAGGACGTGCAGGAGCATGTTGCCACCCACTTCACATACAGCACTTGGAACTACTGCCTTAAACAACTACATGTGAAATTTGATTCAAAACAAAACATAAATCAGGCCTCAAGCACTAGATTGCGAAGGGGAAGTTATATAAAGACAGTCTGTGTACACACTGTATTTTGCCTTTATCTCTGTTATTACCAGACCTTCCTCACTTTTCCTTCACGTGGCAAGAAGAGATGAACTGGCAGTGTCCAGCCCAATGTGGGTAGGACAGGGTGACAGCCAGTAAACATCAGAATGACAGAAACACAAAGAAAGATGATAAAGTATTTGAAGCGGTATAAAAGGGACGTAAAAATAAATTGCAGAGGGAAATCTTACACCAAAGAATGTTATTTCTTGGGAACAAACTTCATGATATTTGACTGTCACAGTCTTCTAAAAGAAATGGTGCACTGTTTTGGGGAACTGCAGAATCAAAAAGTGGTGAGGATGCTGGGATGCTGCACGGCCAGGAAAATGGACCAACTGATGTACCTGATCTCCATCTCTGAAACTGAGATCTCACCATAAAGCACATTTATCATGAAGAAGGAGAAAAAAGCAGTTTGCAAAAACTCAAACATTTTTCAGCTTAAAGTTTCTGCAAATTAACACACTTTGTAGGGAAAAACAGCCAAATGTAGTGTTTATTCTAAGCACTTTACTGCCTCAGAATCATTAACCCGGTACTTTACATGCTGTCTTTGTAATGCAAATTTGCTAAAATACTGTGCTTTCCATAAAACATTCATATGGACAAGCTCACACTACCCAAATACCAACTGTAAGTGGAGCAAAAATAGACTTATTTTTTCTTAATACTTGGGCTCTGCACTAAGTCTTATCTGCAAAAGCAGTTTGTGAGAAACCTTCTGCTGTTGCTGCAGTCACCATAGCACAAAGGTGCAGCTGATGCAGCCAATTAGAAACTGAATTACCACATGCCAAAGCCAAATGAAAAGACTTTGTAGGAGGTACATACAGCAGAGTTTTTCTTGAGGAAGAGAGATCATTACAGAGAGGAGAAGAGACAACCTGCATTTAAGGAGGCCAAACATGGCACATACTGCACCTGTTTGCTGAGCTCCTATTTAAGAGCCACCTGCATCACCACGAGGGTTTGCTGGGCCTCCCCACCACGGAGCACCAGGCAGGCCATTTCCAACCACTGAACTGACTGGACATAATACACCCATCCAACGACATGAGGAGTCCAGCAGTGGATACAAAATCATCCTGGTAAAGCGTCCTGCCCAACCTGAACCATGCAGAGGAAGATGACTCAGGGCTGGAGAGGGCTGAGGGAAGGGAAAGGTTCCTGGTTTATGACTTAGCTGTGGAGAAGGACCAGAACATCACCAAAAGGGTTCAGTGTAGCAACAACATTCTCCGTTTTCCAGTGGACTTAGATCTTGGAATATGAACTTCCACAGAAAAGCTGCAGCCAGCTGAAATTCACAGTATAAACTGCAAATTCAAATACACAGGATAAATCCAGGAAATTTTGTGAGCTTTTCCTCCTCCCTCCATAGGCACCAACTACTTTTGTTTCAAGATGATCTGTAACTGTGCCATCTCAAACTCTGAGCAACTGCTTTCATTCTGTATTTAGTTTTGAATACTGCCATTTCTTTTTCATGTTTAAAGAAGGGTCCACCAACCTGCAAGCTGTCTGATTTTTACAACTATACCAGTTGGTCTGATAGAAGAACATGCTACCTCCAGGTACAAACCCTTCCCAGATTTCCCAGAACTACGAGGCAGAACTCAAGACATCACTGCCTGAGGTGCCAGAATCACCTATGCTGGTTTTCATCAGGGTTCAGAACAACAATGCACAGGTAACCAATGAGAGGCATCTTAACAAGAGGTTTTCTTTATTCACCATAATGACATGCCAACTGCAAGCCAGATGTGCTTTCCCATCCTCTGCTAGACTTAGTTCCCAGTCACCTGAAAGACATTAAAGCTGCACTGCTGCTCCTAAATACAGACAACTTCCCAAAGGAAACCAGGTCCTCAGGAGGATGATGTAGACACCACTAGGATGCACCCACACCACACAGGCACTGCATGGCAAGGGCTTGGAGACTGGGAATTGCACGACTATCCTGCAGCACAGGCATAACCAAAGTGAATTGGACTTAACATGAAACTTTTAAATTGTTAAAATAAATAACAGAGACACTGGGGAAAAAAAAGGCAACCAAAAGCAAACCACGAAGAAACCCACAAATAAAACCCCAAACACCCTTCCCCCAAACCAAGAAAAACCACTCAAAATCCAACAAAGTTTGGGGCAGGATCTACAATCAAAATGAAAGCAAAACAGTAATTTTGCATATGAACTTCAGAACATGTTAAGAAAACAAGTACTTGTTCAAACACCCGCAGTGCTTTCTCAGATGCATTGAAAGAGAGTGAACATACTGAAACCTGCTTGGTTTCGAAATTCAGTTCATTTGGCACATCCTCCACTTTTGCAAGAAAACAAACAGCAAATACAGACAAGCCATAGCACGAGCAGCCCTGCACTCTCCTGCCCACATGCCTGAAGCTTGACTCAAAGGAATCTACCTGGCTATACCAGCTTAGTTTGATCTTTAAACTCAGTCCTCAGCCTGTCCATTAAAATGGTCAATAGCAATGCCAGCTGAGAAATATCCATCATGGGGAACTCCTTTTTACAGGTCAGTGGGTAGCCAGACAACAACAGCTTCTAGCCATGACTGACCTCTCTTCGACACAAACCGCTGATTTCCCGGAGAAAGATGAGCCACAAGCCATCCATTTTCTTAATCGTAATTAAAACAAAACCAAAACCACTCAACTGTTTGTATATGATTTTCTTTGTACAAAATACAAACATGCAATCATCCTTCTACATTTCTGGAGAGTGAACACTAACATAATAAGTATCTGAATGTGTTCAGGCAGGGATTACCTTATTACAAGTTGGTGCTGTTGAGCAGAAATCAGCATCAGAACAGTTTGGATAACAAAATGTTCTGTTGCATCGACCCCCAAGTAAGCTGACAAAACAGATTTGGATAGGTGTGTCTTATGATGGAAAAATTAACTCTGATAAAGAAAAGAGTAAAATGCCCTTTAGATATGCTCTGTTTTCGGAGTCACTAGGATGCAAAAGGAATTAAAAAAAATGCCATCTCCATAAAGTTCAAGAACACATGCAAAAAAGCAAACAAACCTGCCTGGATGACTGGCTGTTTGCAGTACTGGCTGCTTTAATGGCTGTGGTAAAACTGGCTTCTTTGGTTGATCAGTCCTGTGCTACACAGAGCTGTATGCTACCGACAAATCTGGAGGTTTTAGGAAAAATGGAGTAGAACCAGCACAACACACACCAAAGTCCATATCAAAGAAAAAAGCATACAACCAGTTATTTCCTCTCTCAAACATTTTAAATGTTTGCCATTTGCAAAGATTCTCAATCAGAAACAGACTGCATCATGTCTGACTACAGTAAAATGTCTCCTGAGAAAGTCTGCCTTGATCTAAAATTCTCGTACTTGGGTTTTAATTTCCAGTCATATTTACAGGGATCCGCTTCCTCCAATTTCCTAATTGAGACTTCATGGCTTGAAATATGCCCATCAGCTATCATATGACTGCAAATCGACTTAACCAAGAGATACACATTCTCAGGCTTCAGAAAATAATGAGGCACTCCAGATTTTCCAGCAACTTCCAGAGAAGCAGATGTCAACAACCACATCAACCCACATCAACAACCAAGACCACTCGTCCCATCCAGCCTCACAGCTGTTGTACCCCCAATGTTACATTGATTCACGGAATTGCTGCCACAGTAACCAACAAGATACAGGGAAATTACACAACAAACCCACAAGTGGCTGCTTGTGTCCAGTTTCTGCTCCGAGCTGAACTGAACTCCTACTCACCAGGCTCTTGGTCCTTAGTGGATATGCACTCTTTTATGGACTCTGTTATGCCAAGACTAGCGGCAGTGGGGAGTGGGCCGAGCAAGGATTCCAGTGCAGGTGGTCTTACAAGAGTTTCATTTCCATTTCTGCATTCCCCTTCTTCATTTTTTTTAACTCTATCCTTCTCATGAAGTTCATCATAAAAGTCCTTGTTTAAGTGATTAGCAGCTGCTTCCAGTTCCTCATCTTCTGCCTCCTCCTCTCCAAGTATGCTAGAGGCATTATCTTCTATAGAATCTGCAGGGGAAAAAAACCCCAACAGATCATTGCATACCATCTGCTACAGAAACTAAATAAATAGAGAGGTGCTCACTTAAAGAATAAAAATCTTTAGAGGAAATCTGTAGACAAAATACACAATATTTTAGTCCAACATATGAATACGTGGAGTTCCCAGATGCTCTTCAAATTCATCACCTTGACTATTAAAATGCATTTTTGTGACTCCAGTCAACATTTAAAATAAAAGCATTGTCTTATCAAATTAGGTGAAAGGGCTTTGTGAGAGAAGTCAGCTATTTCCTGGCACAATTACAAATTAAAAATAGCCAGTTCAACCTGCACAAATCCTTTCCATATGGGAAGTCAACTGGAGAATTTGGCGACAGAAGGGTCTAGATACTGGTCCACTGCACCTTCAGTGATGAAACATTCTCAGGCGCCAGTGCCAAGCTTATACTGCACCAGGAAAGAAAAACAACTGAAATCATTAATGAACTGTCACAATGTAGTTGTTTTGAAGACTGGACTATGAATCAAGTATTTGGCAGAGAGAACCCCAATGCAAAAGAGATCTTGTACTATGCAAGCATATATACGATCACATTTATCACAATAAAGTTCATACACTTCAGACTGTCTGATCTGAACCCAATACTATTTAGGTAGCCATAAGACTTTACAGACTTACCATCTTTAGTGAAATTTGCAAATACACCTTTTGCTTTCGGTCTACTGTTTTCTAATTCAATCTCTATTTCATCTTGGTAGCTCGATATTTCTCCTGTGGTGTTAAAATAAAAATAAAACTCAGCAATCACTGATATAATTTTGAAGAAATGAGTGATATGTTACACTAAACACAACTTATACCTTCAAAATCCTCCAGCTTTTTTGATAATGCCTTCTCAAGCTGAAATGAAAACAAACAAAATAAACGTGAAATTACTAAAAAAAGATGCACAATTTTCAACTGTTTGTGAACTGTATATAGAGACAGAGAATGGCAGGGTATTTTAAAAGCACTCAGCAGGTTTTGATTCACAACTGAAATTACTTTGTAGTGTCAGACAGGTAAGACAGACAAGTTTCAAAATACTGACCGATTCAAATTTATCTCCCCCATCTATATACTTCAAAGAGACCCTTCACTCTGGCAAGCTGTAAATAAAAGGCCTCATTCTTCAGCACTCTGACCCTGTCACTGTGCCTGTAGATGTGAGCACGCACAAGGACAGCACTGTGACTGGAGTGCTCACACCAGACAGAGCACACAGGTGATGGTAGAGTGAAGCTCTGACCTGCAGCACCTGGCAGGCTCTTCAGAGCATCACTGATGTGCCTACATGATGGCATATTTAGAACAAACAAAAACCCTAACAAACCAATAACATAAGAAATTACTATGACAGTAGTAAAATCTTCTCCTCTGGTGCCAGCTTTAGTTCATGCTTTGTAAAGAAATTAAACCACACAAGAACCTCAAAATAAATGTAACTAAACCTTACCAAAGGCTGGTCAGTTAGGATTTCATATTAACTGATTCAGAAAGGAATGCACAGAAGGAGTATAGAGGAGAAAAATACAGAGAGCATCCAATTCAGAATTCACCTGCTGTATCTTCAATTTTTTTTGACCAGCTGTAAATGAAGGAGGATCACATTCTTCTTCCAAGTCAATCTTCATAAACTCATCTATGGTTAGTTGACTGGTTGGTGTATCTTCAAACTCTGTCAACCTACCAAAGCATATAGCACATGACCAAAACATCTCTAAGAACTCCTTCAAAAGTAACAAAATTCACAAACTGCCAAGTTACAGAATAAACATGTCATCCTTAGCAACTCTGGTTCAAATACAGACTACATTAAAACTGAAGTGCTACTAATTGTTTCATCTGCTGCAAAGAAAGTATCTTTTCATATCCCAAATTAGCTTTTGATTTATTAGAGTATTAGAGTACATAACAGATGAACAGAAACACTGCAGCCCCTGCAGTCAATTAAGTGTAGACAAAACTAAGACGAGAAACGCAGCTCATTCCTCCCCTCTCGTTGCTTTTGTTATCAACAGCAACAACAAAACAGACACTTAAAATAAAATATCTGCCATCATAGTTTAGGAGTAGGCTCAAAAATATTCCTGACATGTTAGTCTGATTAATTTATGCAAATCAAATGTTGAAGTAAAATTCTTTGGCAGACTGGAAGAGGGACAAGAAATAAGCTTCCCAGGACACACAGTAGCAGTGGTAAAATAAAGGAATTATCTGCATGTCACACAGATGGAATAGATGAATGCACATAATTTGACAATAATAAACTTTGTTTAAGGTTTGTATTTAAAAGTTCCTACCTAAGTGAGAAATAGGACCAGCTTCATGGGGAATTGCCACGAAAGCAGCTGAATCTTTCAAAGGAATTTGATCTTAAATAAGACCTCATGGTTATAATTTCATCCACAAATTCCAGCATTTTATACAGGTGGAGAATTTTATACAGGAGAATGAGCACATCCATTTCACAGATGGGAGAAAGTGAGACAAAAGGTTAAATACAAAGCCAGGTCAGGAAACGTCTGGCAGAATGCTTCTCTGACAGAAAGTGCCCTTTTAATAATATCAACATTTTCCATGGGAAAACGGCAGTGATGGGTCTGCAGCTGCTTCATTGGAATATTCCCATCTTCCAGAGGAAGCAAAGCTGACAACAGCTTCCATCTGCAAAGCCAGGAAACTAAAAATGGTGATTCAGTGCTCCCAGTACAGGACCTTGCAGCATTTCTCTCCCTCTAAAGGCAATTGCTGTTTTCTCCTTTACCTCTGGTTGCAATGAAAGTTCTTCTGAAAATGAATTTTCTCTAAGACAGAAATTTAGTTTCTAACCAATGCCAGTGTCAAAGTCAAGAGCACAGGGCCACACTCTCCCCCTATATCCTCAACAGTATCTGTATATCTTCTTTTACAAACTGAGGAACAAGACAAGACAGTCCATACAGAGGGGCATAGGCATGCTGCCACTTCAGGACACTTTGCCTGGAGGTATTCCACTCCTGAAGCAGAGGCCACAGGTGGCATCTCATGCCATGAAATGCTCAGAGAGAGCCAGGCACCTCTATATAACTCCAAGAGCAAGCAGCACGGTGAGCCCATGCACAGCTATGCCAGCCAGATTAGTGCTGCTGAGAAGAAAGCCTCTGAACACTAGACTTGCTTTTGGAGTTCAGGCCCAAAGCCCCAAATTAGCCATGTACTTGAGAATGACTGACAGCCCAAAACCTTCCCTCAGAGCACCAGGGACCAGCCCTCTCCTCCTCTCTTTCAGATCAAATTGGAAAGGAGAGGAGGATGCTGTTGGCAGCAGCAGCACCCAGCTTTTAATTAAAAGGCTAGAAATCTTTCTCAGCATTAATGGGCTTCCAGCGTGCAGTACCCACCTTTCAGGAGGGAGCCTCATCTATCAGGCTAGAGGGAAAACCAGGCAAGGGCACTGTTATTATTATTATTTTAATTCAGGATTCACTTAATGCCAAACCCATGTATCATTTGAGGAACATGGATCTTCCCAGTCACCATCATTAAAGAACAGTCATCCATCTCTCCACAAATGAATCATGCACTCACAGGTAGTCCCACTTCAGCAAGACTTTTCCTCCCAACCAGCCTCACCTCGTTAAAATATTATTCTCCTCCCACTGTTAAAAGCCAACATGCACTTTGGCAAAGACACACAGTTTGTTTATCCCACACTTGCTCTGAGTCTGAGGTGAGCTGCCAGAGCCAGAGCCCCAACAAAGCACCACCTCTGCGCATGCCAAGCAGACAAGGAAACACCCGGAGCAAAACCAGTTGCTCATAAAGCTAGGCTGGGGATGAGATGACCATGGTGGGTGTCAGCACTTAACCCTGTGCGTGTCTGCTTGGGACACCTCAGGCTCTGTCTGTCCCTCTCCTGTCCACAGTGTCATGATTCACGTCACGTACCCTGCACCCGTCAGATGTCAGCCCTCCGCTGAGGCAGCTGGCAAGAGCTCCGGCTTGAGCGCCGGCTTCCCCCGAGCCAGAACAGCAGGACAGGTCTCTCCCAAGACCTTCAGTGCATGTGCACTAGGACAGGGCAGAGCTACGTCATCTTTGCTACCAAGGAGCTCAAACCTACAGCACAGCACAGTGCAACCATCTGACTTGGCCTCCAGCGTCCTGTCCCATGCCCGTGCCCTCCTTTTCCTCAGTCCTGATCCAAGACAAACGGGGAAGAGCTGACCACCCAGTGGGGAGGGCTGCCAGCACAACAGTGTAGGTACAGGCCAGTGGCAAGTCCAAATTTAAAGGAGCACATTACTTCTTCACTTCTCTCTGGTCTTATCCATAAGGCTCCAGCCTTCCTTCAAAACTGAAGAACCACCCCGGACGGTCAGGATCCCAACTTGAGCATCACCCCCGTGGGAGAGCGAGCTGTACACTCAACATTTTCTCTTTTAACTTGATATAAATAAATACCTGCACTTGCCAACCACTTGCCTGCCTCAACATTTTACACTGGCTACATATTTTTAAACATTTCTTTAATTTTACCCACTGTTTGGACACATCCCACCAAGGCAACAAACTGATGCCGCAGCAGTCTGCACTGCATGAAACAAGACAACATGAATTTAGCAGTTAAGAAAAACTGACGTAACCTTAATCATAAACACAATAACGTCGGGGGCGAGGGAGTGCCCTCATGAAAACAAAAAAATAGCTACGGGCTAATTTTTAAGTCCCACATAAAAATACTATCCAAGTTCATTTTCACTTTTGTTAACCTAAAAAAAAACCTAATAAGAGTTGCCACTTCAAGTTATGCACAGACGGAGGAAAATAAACAGATATACAAATTAAGATATTATTTCCTTGGCACATATTCAAAAGGGTTCTAAAAACTGAAATTTGGCAGACAAGTATTTTCTATTTATAGTCAAAGCAGAGGCAGCCACTACAGCTCAGGCTAAGATTTAACTTCCAGCATAAACTGTCCTCTTACAGTTTCTCACAGCAAACTCTTTCAAACAAATTCCTTTGGGAGAAAAGTTTTTCCAGAGCCTGGTGTCATCTGCCTCTAACCTCAACCCTTTTTTACAAAGGAAAGTTTCCACAGTTGTTGTTTCATCCATTTACAGACAAAACCACACCTCAGCTTCTGATAAAGCACTTTTGTATACAAACCAGTAAACCAATTCTGTTCACACTTAATTTAACTCCCAATAAGGGAAAATGGGTCAATCATTTTGAAGTTACAAGCAATGGTTTTTTTCGCTTTGTTTTGTTTCAGGGATAACATCCAGTGGAGACTTCTGAATCCAGTCTACACCAATGGAAAAACAGACTCCTGTGTGCAGCTCAGTGCTCAGTTTTAATGTTTAACTGAAATTCTGCAGCAGTGGGGTGCGACCAAGCACAAAGAAGAACAAAGACTTTTGGAGTCCAACTCACAAATGCTTCAGGAGCCCAAGTTCAAAGTCCAAGAGGGACCTCTACACAGAGGCCATTTAGGAAAAGCCACGGTGTCCTCCTAAATACACACAATCAGCACCAAGCTCTAGAAAGCAGACAGCATGAGCAGAGGTATCTTGTGCTGGGTCTCCATACAGAGGGGCAAACAAATTACAACTTCAGAGACAATTTTTTTAAACACATAATGTGAGTTTTAGCCTGAGCAGTCAGCCTCTAAGTTACCTGTTGTGAGAGGACTTTTTAAAGTACTTAAGGTATTTTATTAATGGGATAGAAAAATACTAAGCTGAATATTGCCCCACTGTCAGCAGAAATACATGAAAAACTTCATTGCAAGATAAGCTGGTGGTGATAATTATATTCCCCTGAGTTCTCCCAAATTAACAATATAATTAAAACCATAAGTAATAACTTACATGATATCTACATAATCTTAACTATCATATCAATTACAAATATTCTAGTAATAGATCAGCTGATTTGATAACTCAATTCCCAACTCTGGAAAAGTAAGGGATTGCCTTTTGTGTCTTAGTGAAGTAAGAAAATATTGCAGCGTATCCCCACTGTTTTAACTTAACACTCACAAGTGCTGCCTGCCATCCCAAACCTGTGCACTCACTCACAGGAGAGAAGCTCAGAATTCACACTGATGTGGCAAACCATCACTATTTTTATATTACAAGTGAAACAGTCTATTGCATCACTCTTCTCTCCATTTTTTTCCAAGCCATATAATGTTTACACACGAATTATTTATGGAAGTATGTAAACACATACCCTAAAAGTGATACTTAATATAGAACACCTATCAGAAATAGTTATTAAATGCTTCCTACATGACAGAACAAAGTTTTCCAGGAGCCACCAGTAAGTAAATAAACAGAAGAGTAATCTCCTAATATATAATCACTGTACATATATACAAATTTACATGTACTTGTGGCAATATAAAAGATAGTTTTAAACCTGTAGGAATAAGTATCTCATTACTAAAGATATGAACCAGTTGCTGTGGTTTTACAACTTAAAACTTATCACCTGAGCTGTGCTAAATTAGTCTGTATTCCCAGCCCAATACAAATGTTAAGAGAAATACTGTCACATTTAAACAACTTCCAACATTAATACACACCACCTCTTTTTACAATGGGCTGAGAGCACACACACAAAGTCATTTAGTGCTATTTACTGATAATTTATGACACTCATTTGGTGGCAACTCTCTAATCCTTCTCTATGTATTAAAGAACAGGTATGTCTAAAGATTTACTGTACTAAATAAAAGCACCCTTTAGAATTAGTTTCTGTTACTTGCTCACACCAAAACAGAGATTTAAAACTGTCACAAATTCATTATCCAAACTTTTAAACCCCAATTCTACAAATGCTTACACATGTGATTAACTTGTGTTAACACTTGTGCCCATTGTCAGTATCTGGATAATCCTACCATCAGACCTCCCTGGCCATCCCAGAACTCTGTCAGTCTAAAATACCTGGAACTTTTTGTTTTTTCCCCCTGATTCAAGTGTTCACACTGTGCTAAGGAAACAAAACGCTTTAGCATTCCTTAATATTTTGTTTCATTAGCATGGTTCCTCTGCAGTGGTCTGTCAAAAAGCACTCTATGATCTCCTGGAAAAGAAAAATAGTGCTGCTTAATTTCTTAACAGCAGCTCAGATGAGGAAAGTCAAACACAGAGAAAACTGTTTACAAGATCTAAGCCTGAGTTAGTGCGAATAAGTTAATGACTGTTTCAAAAGTAAGAGTCACCAATAATTTTGAAATTACATTTTTAAAGATGATGTACTAAAACATATTAGGAATCTAATTAAAGTATTAACTTACTAACTGTATAGAATCTGGTTTTATAAAAAGGAACATTACCTGTGAAATTGGATTCCTCAGAAATAAAACCTTTTTTCATTAAACCAGACAATCCAACTTACAAAGGTATGCAATACTAGCCCACGTGGACTGAGTTGTGTTTTACTCACCATACTAAAAAGGTTTCTAGAAATCATCTGTAAGCCACTTGAAATGATTTAACTGGAGACATAAGATATTCCTCAGTCTAGCTTTTCACAGTGGCGACCAGCAAAGGAGATCAGCGCAGACACCACCACAAGCTCCTTTACATGAAATAACTTTCCTGGTTTTCTAAATGCTTCTCTCCACATCAGACTTCAACCAAGAGCCCTTACATGGCTGTGACATACTGAGCATCCTCTGCCCTTCCATGCTTGAACACCTTGGGTAACCAGCTCTCACTGATTCACCAGATACCTTTCACGGAACTTTAGCTTGGCTGTACATGAATCACAGCCCAACACCGACTTCTTCACATCTTTCCCTTCAGTCCTGGCCTTCATAGGACTTTGGAATTTTCAAAAACACAACCTCACAGCCACCCATCTCCCTGTTACCTTCTCTTCCCATCCTGACCCCAGACTCACATCCTCCTCGCTTTGCCTGCTCTCACAGACATCTGCCTGGCTTGAGACTGGGTGCTTGGACACGAGGTTTACATCAGCTACATATTACAGAAATGAAAAAAAAAAGAGAAAGAAAAGCTGCAGGCAATACATTTATCTCTATGTATGAATCTTTAATTTCATCACAAAATTACCAATGCAGTTCACTGAAAGAGCTGTAGCTGGGTCCCCAGGATGTGAGCAAAGGACCCCATTTATGTAAGACCCCGCAGCTTCTGCAACTGGTATATGGAGTTCCTTTGTAACAAGTCTTGTCTTCCTTCCCCAAAAACACTATTTTCTTGTGAGAAAAAAACATTCACCTCAAAAACGAGCCCTTTAAACCCATTCTGGTCTTTCATTCCAATATCTGCTAAATGAAGCTTTACTTCTTCTGAAGTTCATCACAAATAGGTTTTTTAGCAGACAATACTTTATGGAATTGAGAAGAAGTATTTTTTATGCAAAGAAGCAGAATGCAAATGTCATCAAAGATAAGATTTTTTTTTATTATTATTTCTATTGAAGAAGTGCCTAAGATCTTCAAACAGGCATAAGGGCCACACAGTATTAGATAATGCACAATGGACAAATATCACAAGAATTATTCTCGCTACAGATAAGACAAAATTCAGAACACAGAGAAAGCATGCAATGGGTGAATAAAAAGATGAAGGGGCAGAGTATTTAAAGGTTAAAAAGGCAGCAGCGAAGACAGGTGCATTGAACATAGGCACAAATGAGAGGATTGAACTAAATAAAAGGGTTGGGTTTATTAAAAGTTAATTTCTCCTACCTCCACAGATGATTACAGAGAAAATAACAATTTGACTAATTAGTTAATATTTGTACAGTACTTTGAATATATAAAGTGATATATAAGTTAATATAATTTCAATTAGACTGGAAATGAGATAGAATTATCAGTGCATTTATTAATATTTAATAAGTTGGCTTTCAACAACAGCAACAAGCTTTACATTTTAATTGTGTGCTTCAACACATAAAGCTAGAAGGCCCTGTGAAGTGACTACAAAGTTTTTGCACCAATCCTACCAAAAATCCACACATATTAAAAATAAACATGCACTGTTTTTTAACCAAACAGATGGTTAAATTAAGAGCTCTTGATTAGAAGATGAGTGACAGCATCCATAAGTCATGCTTTGTCACTTTTTTCCTTCCAAAACACATTCCCCTTATGATCAGGTCATTAATTTTTATGACCGGAAGACACGTCCCATTTTTGTGAACCTTCTCCTAAGAGCTACTCCTCCAGCACACAGCAGTGAAAGAGGAGGCAGTTTACAGGCACCTGGGCTTGGTGCTCTCCAGCTGATGACGACCAACAGGGTGAACTAATCCAGCCCCACCAGCTGCACTGCCCAGGACCAGAAAGCCCTTCTGAGGGAAGGGTTGCCACCCCTTGCTAAGGGTCTTCCCAAAACAGAAACCCAATCAGGGCTTTACTAAAGAGCATCCTCAGCCAAGCCACTGACTCACACAGCCCTGTCCCCACCAGGCTCCTGAGCTGCCTCCACAAGGCAGGAGTTAAAGGCACATCATGTGGGGCCACCCCTTCCCTTGCGGATTTCTGCCATGGAAGTCCATCAGCACTGAAAGCAAACCCAGCTTCCGATGGTCTGAGCCAGGTAGGTAACTGGGAACTAAATTACAGCCCACAGCAGAACCTGCAGGCTGGAAGTGTCAGTGTTCTCTGGCCTCCTGCTTGGTTTCACTTCCAGAGCTGTCAGGGCAAAGCCATCAGCAGTCAGCTGATGAGATGATCCAACACTGTCCATTAATGAGCATTCACCCAACTACACCCAACACGTTCACAACACACAAAGCAGCAGCAGCTCTTTACCAAATGGAGTAACTCTCAATAATCAAAAGGAAATAAAACTGTACATCAAACTGAGAAGTAAAGGAATTTTTAAGAACATGAAACAAGTTCTCATTCATTTCGACAACATCTATTTGATGGCATTTTGAGACAAATTCTTGAAAGAAGAGGGAAAAAACGAGTGCAGAAAGAGTTATTCAAAGGTATTTTTTTTATTTGCCTTCATTAAATACTATATAGCATGCTCTTATTTGAAAAACATCAATCAAATTTATAGATTCATGATAAATAGTTGTAATTATAGCTGCCTGAAAATAATTCAGCTGTCACGTTTACCCTGTCAAAGTAAATAACGCTGTCATTTTCGTTGATGTGTGTGACTTGAGTAAACATTTCAAAGCATGAATTTTGAAGTAAGATTTTCTCGCTCGAAACAATTGCTGAAATTAATTTTCCTTCCAACTCTAATTTATTGTGCTTATTTTCTTACTAAGAACAAACTCTTTAACCAAAGCCCCTTGGAGTAGATTGTGGTGTATAACTCAATAGTCATACAAAATGCACAACGAAAACACACGACCTGTTGGCCAGAGGAAAAAATGTGGTATTTGTACTGTTCCATCCCTATAGTTGCACCCTAAAGCATTTAAAACACTTCCAATTTATCCCTATGCCACCCATGCATAGAAATAGCATCACTCCTGTTCCACCAATGAAGATCCGAGGTGAAAATATTTCCAAGAATTAAGAAGTGAATATTATTAATATGTATTAGGCTCAGCTGGATGTGCTTAAGATGATCCCAGTGAGGTGAAGAGAAAGAGGAAGCTTTCTAAAGACAGACCTTGGTGAAACAAACATCAGTAAATACTGGTGACAGAAAAATTTCCAACTTGGGGCAACAGAAATCATGGTCCTCATGGTTGGGTCATTTTTTTACTTAGCCTATGGGAAAAGAATATGTTACAACTTTTCAAAAGTAAAATGAGGGGAACTGGGTGTCTACTTATATCACTAAAACATGGAAAATACTACTCGATCTTAAAAAAATAAACACACAAAAGGTACTTCAAAAATTCCCACTTTCAGGGGATCCTTCACTGAACTTATCATTAGACTCACTGTGCTGTCTTCCATTTATTAGCACTGCAACACTACCAAAAATGAACATATCAGCAAAATGTTCTGAAAAGTTCAATAACAGCTAAAGTGCAAGTCTTTTCATCACTGGATTCTGAATTAATGAAAAAAAGAATCTCGCGGTAGACCGTCAGCTTTGAGAATCAATAAATTATTTTTCTGAGGACATGACAACAGTGTTAACATTTCTGACAGAGCATTTTTTTGCCTTCAACTCTTCACCTGTTAAACAGGCATAGTGCTCCTTACCATCTTTGCTAAGCATTTGAGGCCTTAACTAAGAGGCAAGTTGTTAGTACTTTAAAATCACCAGCTGAAACACACTGCACTTATTTTATTTTGTGGCACTTCTGAACAGAACCTGGTTTTCTCTGATATACATTCATTGTAGACTACACCACTGTTCAGTACTGTAAATGAAAGATAAAAGCAATAAAACTGCACTGACCTTTTCCTTAATGTAGATTCACAAACCTTGACCACCCTGATAACCTCTTTAACAGTCCGTCGGAAATCATGCATTCTTGCTGCCACCAGCAGAGCTGGAGAATGAGCAGGGAAAGTCAATATCAAAAAGAGAAAAATTTACTGAACAAAAGCAGAAAACAGTGGGATAACTATACCCTCTCTTCGTCCCTGCCTTCTGCTAAAGAGCTGTAAATGCTTATGCTCAGCTGTGTCCTTGAATACTTGACTTTACAAACTTTGCTTTCTACCCAATAAAATTAAGCCGATTGCAATTTACACCCTCAAAAATTCTATGCTTTGGGAAACCATGGTAAGCTACAGCACAAGAACATTTCACTGATCACGTTATTTTCAAAGTTATCATCTTTTTAGCAGAATTTACTGAATTCTGCCCCGAACAAAAAGACTTTCAGAGAAACACTGAATCTGCTTAAGCTGGTCTCCTCACTGCTGTCACCACTACCACTGTCTTGCTGGTGCCCAAGTGCTCTCCTGCAAGACTCTCTATACAGATAACTAGTGCTGGCTGCAGTTTTATTGTGTGTTGATTCAAAGCACCATCTCCATTTTGAAGCATCGCCCCCACCCATCGTGCAGTGGCTCAGTGTGCAGAGCAGTTTTAAGCAGGCCAAAGTGCCTCCTTACAGAGGAAACTAAACCAGAGCTCCATTTCTGGTATATGTTTTAAAGTGCTTCTCATGGGAGCATCAGGGTCTAAACTAACAACTGGTCCTTCAAACAACATGTGGCACAGACATTTAGACCAGGGAACCAAACTTCACAGTCCACAGTCCAACAGGAGAACTGCATATTGCATGGATGGATGGAGGGGTTCAGCACCACCTACTTCAATCTATTGATCTGTGTTTGTTCAGTCAAATTACCTGCTTGTGTGGATATAGTCCTTGTAGTGAATCAAAGAGCAGGCTGCTCTCCCATGCAGTCTAGACTCAAATTTTTAGCAATGTGCAATAAGCAAGTACTCTTAACAAAAAGTGGCTAGAAATGTCACGACAATTGCACAGTCCTGGGTTCCCAAAGGTTTGAGCTCTATTTCTCATTCAAGCATAGACACGTAAGATCTTTTAAATAAAATAAAGTGCATATGTGATCTCTGTGACTATCTACACCCTTTGTTACTCTGACCTCACTAGCTACTACCTTTTAACCTGACCCTCCCAAACCAGTAGGCTTTCTGTAAGCATCATGACAGCAATGGATCTTGGAAAAAGATGAAGAAAGAGAGAAAAATAATTTCACAAAACAGGTCAAAGAGGGCATTTCTTGCATAAGACTCTACGTAAAGACACAAATCAAAGTGCTTGCACTAATGGTGTCGTTTTAGCTGACAAAAAAACCTTTCAGCAGCTAGACCCTGCAGAGTGGGGGCAGAAAAAGCACCAGAAAGGAGCTTAAAAAAAAAAATCCAAACTGTAAGTTACAAAGGATCTGAGCAAGTACTGTGGAAACAAGGGCAAAATGAAGTTTGAGTTTCAGAAACTGTTTTGATGAATACCTATATAAATCTGTAGGTGCCTGACAGCACAAAACTCAGAGAGCATGGATATCACCAAGGAAATGAGAAAATCCTCATCTGTTCCAGGCTTTTCCATCCACCCTGCTGTGGGGGAAGCGACACACCCAGCCTCTGCCCTACCTGCCCCGCAGAGCCCGGAGGGCCGGCGCCCGGTGTGCATCCAGTCCCGCTTCATCCTCTGCAGCAGCCTGAGAGCTGTCATGGACACCTCGTGGTTCTTATCCCCAAACTCCAGCATGTGTGCAAAACGGGGAATATATAAACACGGATCTGCAACAGAAAGTAATAACATTATTTCTAAATCTACATTTGATTTAGGAAATGCAGTGCTCAGGCAGAACTGCGAGGCCGCTGTGCTTGGCTTGCTCCACCTCTCAGCAAATAGACTGTGCTGCTGGGCCAGATCCTCTGACCACTAAGCTTTAGAAGCACCTTTTTGGTTAAGCTGAAACAAAATAATTTCTTGCTTTGTTGATGAAAAATCTTTAAAGCACTATACAAACATTTTCTTATACGCTTTTCAGTGTCCAAGGCTGCACATGCTGACTCTGACATATGAGCAGTGTTACTGGTATCAGTGAAATCAGACCCAAAGTAAAGCATTTGCAAAAGCTTTTGCAGAATGAGAACATGACTTAGACCCCAAACTTTTAATATCTCCTGCAAAGTAGCAAGAGAACTTGCATGCTCCATCTCAAACCTAACTACAAACTAAGCTTCAAAAAAAAATTCATTTGCCAGAAAACCCTCAGTCCCTAAGAAAAGTCAACCTTCAAAGTTTATTCCAGCTCCTTCTCAGACTCATATTCCAACAATACAAAAACACTGTTTATTACAGACAATAAGGCAGACTCTCCTTCAGTATAAATTGCTGGAACCCAATTAACATCAACAGTGCTATGACAATTTACAGCAGCCACAGATCTGCCTCCAGATGTATAAACTTATTTCAAGCGTCAGTGTTATCAGCTTCGAACTAACCAAAATATGTCAGTACACATTGTGCTTTGCCTAAACCAATTTATAATTTATCAAACAATCTTGTAAAAGCTACACTTAACACATGTTTACTCTTACTTGAGATATCAATTTCTCATTTCCTGCCAGCCTTTTATCACTTGACCGAAAATCCATGATGTACGGTAAATTGTTAACTATTAGCCTCAACTCAATTTCCTCATCTGATCCCCTATGTGGGCACTTAAACTGCTAAATTCAGCTTGAAACACTGGAAAAATCTTAGGGATTTACAACTAATCAAAGCACCAAGTTCTAACAATGAAGCCCTGTTGCTATTCATAATTACCAAGATCACACCGTAGGTGATGATGCCTGTCAGCCCCGCAGAAGCATTTAAATGAAAGCACTTATCAAGCAAGAACTTTCAACCATGTCTCCCTCAAAACTGAAGAAACTCCAGAGTGCAGTCACCTTCTAAAGATGGCCCTAAAAATCAAAGGTTTAGAATAGAATAACCAATCCCCATGATTCTAAGGAGAGTTGTTCAGTACTTACAAGTATGATTTTATAAAGCTCAACAGAAATTACCAATTCCGAATTCAACAACAACAACAACAAATAAAAATCCTTTCAGAAGGCATAGCCTGGGGTTCAACAGGCATTTAAACTTTGCTCTACATGCTACAAGAACATGTATGATGTTACAAAGAATGCCTGGTTTGCTTTTTCATCTCTTCTTAGCCAGAGAGGGCTCAACTTCAGCTCCTATAGTCTCCAAAGCAGAGTGGAGAGCAAGGAGCAACTCAGCTCTTTCTTCGGAAATGAGAATCAGAAGCATTAACACAGTTGCTGTTTGTAGCTGTTGAGACATTTCTGCTGGCATTCATGCCCACAGGTCATTTGACAAGACATTGCACATCGTTAATTTAAATTCTGAAGCTACCAAACACTCAGAAAATGAATACGTGGGTGGGTTGTAAATAACAAGCCTTAAAAAGGCTAAAAAAATTAAAAATATATAAATTCGAAGCAAGGCCTAGGTTTGCATAAACACATCCTGCATGGATGCAAACATTTGAAAAAAATAAATAAATAATTTTAGACGCTGGAAAGCCCAACCACCTTGCTTCCTTCCAGAGGTGGCAAACCAGCACTGGTGCAGCGAGGGTGCCTTGCTCCCAGGAGTATCCCCTTTGGCTTTGGGAGACCCCTGAGGCTGAAACCCTTCCACAGAGCTGAGCAAGTTCAAGTCGGGTAAAAATCCCGTTGATTTTCCTCAAAGAGAGTGCTGGGGGCCCCGAAGCAGACCACAAGAAAAACGTTTATTTAATGTTTTAAAGAAGGAG